GTAGGGAAAAATACCATAGAAATACCAGCCTGGTGGCCCTCAGGGCCATATGTGACAAGGACTGTATGTGCATGAGGGCTTTGTACCATGCATGTAGGTTTGTTGGCTGGAGCGGGAAGAGGAAAGGGACTCGGGGAAACTCATGGAAAGTTGGGGTAGGTGGATGCCACTGTGTTTTCGCAGTTGGGGAAGGAGAGGCTGTCCAGTGCAGAATAGGGTGGAGTAACAGCCCTTTCAAGGACCTGGCAAATAGCAGCCAGTAAAACACTGTTTGTGAGGCATGCAGCACCATTCCCCAAGCCTCTTTTGGGCACCTCAGACCTCTGGGGGCTCAGGAGCCTGCCACCCTAAAGTAAGCACTTTCCCATTCCCTGTGTAGCTGCAGATGGTGGGGGTCGATTTCCCACATTCAGTTCCAAAATGCTAGAGAACCCGATTCCCTCCCCCGATTTGGTGTGTGGGACAAGACAGGACCCCTTGGGCTTCCTGCACCTCCCTGACCTGTTCCTTTCTGCCCTCTTCCTACAGGACCATGAGAAGCAATATGTGGGGTTCGCCACCCTGCCCAACCAGGTGCACCGGAAATCCGTGAAGAAGGGCTTTGACTTCACCTTGATGGTTGCTGGTGAGACTTCCTTGCCACTCTGCCTTTGCTCAGCAGCCCATCTTCTCAGAGGAGAACCAGTCACACCTGGGCTGAGAGTTGGGAGAGCATCTTCTGTGTCCCTGGGACCTGCCTCTGCCACTGATGCTCACACAGCTGAAAACCCTGGGCTGCAAGCATCCCATTAAAAGGAGCAAGACTCCTTGGGAAGGGAGGCACTGCTCCGCACCAGCAAGGGGGGCTGAATCAGGTCCCAGGCTTGTGTCCTGCCCCCAAGGTACTGAGATGGTTCTGCTGGCTCAGGTCTGTCCAGTCAAGGGAAGTTCAGCCACTGAACTAAAAAGGGGACAGGATTTCACCTTGTGTCTAACCCTGGCTTCTGTTTGCCTTCTGCTTAACCAGAATAAACCTGCTGCCTCCTCAGCCCTAGAGCCCCGGCTGTGAGCAGGCTAGCAGATGGATGGCGAGGAGTTCTGCGCACACCTGCTGTCTTGCACTCCCCACTTTGCTGAAAGACCCCTTTCTCCTGTCTGGTTTCCTCCTGTCTGACTCCTCAGCCCTCCCTCCCTTGCCCTGTGTCCCAGTCAGACGCTTCCTTTAGAGGAAGCGCTCTGCTTTTTTTTGGCTGCAATCAGCCTGTTTGAGTATGGGATGTAACTGCCCCTTCTCTGCCAGAAAGTGTCCCTGAGAGCAGCAGGCCCTGGATAGGTAGGGACCATGGGAAGGAGCTGGGATAACATGTGTCAAGGACAGAGGGATCACGCTGGGAAGGTCCTCCTGCAGCTGGAGAAATGTAACAGCTGCATACAACCCCAACAGGTTCCCATCTCTGGCTTCCCTTGGTGCAGGATCCAGTGTTTTGAGATGCCTTAAGGTGTTTTTTTTAACCCACTTTATACATTATGTTTTTTCTTTTTCATGTGTCCAATAGGAGAGTCGGGCCTGGGCAAGTCCACCCTGGTGAATAGCCTGTTCTTGACAGACCTGTACAAAGACAGGAAGCTTCTCAATGCTGAGGGTAAGTGAAGCCCAAGGGAGGGACCACTGGGGCTGGCTGCTTCCACAGGCACTAAACTGGCTGTCTTTGAACATCCAACACTCCTGCTTTATGTCAGCAATGGTTGCAGACTGATCCATGCTTTCCTGACCCATTTTCCTTGACCAGCTGTACAGCTTCTAGTATTAGGGCAAGAAGAGTTTGAGGCTGTGGTTCAGCTTTAGGGTTTTCCTTCCTTACAAAGTACAGTTGCTGAGTAGGCTGAAGAGTTGTCTGTTGCCATACTACGAGGGTCTTTGAGTTTAGCTCTTGAGCTTGGTGTCTCACTCATGGATGGGTGGGGTGAGAGAGAGAGACAGCATCTGCCCTATATACACTGTAGTGGTATTTTTGGCGTAGGTATGTTAGCTAGGGCTGTGAAAAAAGTTATACCCTGTAGCCGACATAGTCATGCCAGGAAAGCTGCCTGGCCTGGATGCAGCTGTGCTGACAGGAGAGGGCATCTGCCTGCTTCACTTCTGTCAGCCAGGAACTGGGATGGGTAGGCCAGCAGATAATGCCCTTCATCCGTCTTCTCTAAGGGCCTCCATCCCCACAGCTTTTCAGGGGTCGCTATGCAGAAGCCCCACAGTGGAGAGTCTCTGGGGCACAGGAGTGCCTGCTTCCTATTGAAAAAGAACACTGTGGGTTCTTTTTCAGAGGTTGACCATTTAGATCCATTAGAAAATTGCATTATGGGGGGGTTTGCTTTCTCCTGAAAGCATCAGGTATTGCCTGCTGATAGGCCTTTGTGGCTGGCTGATATGATATGATATTGCACAGCAATTCCTGTGGTATAAATAAGGTCACCCAGGGACTGTGGATGCACATGTTTTGAGGGACACTAGACAGTTTTGAGAGGTGCCGTTGCAGATGGTTAGAGCTGAGGACTCAAAGTCAGGACAATGCCACAGTCTTGCTTGAAAAGCCACCTAACCTCTCCATGCCTGCGTTCTCCCAACTGCTGTGGTAAAATGAGCATGATACTGATCTTTCTCACCAGTTCAGAGTTGTCTCTTCCTCAGGCCCCTTTCTGGCCTGTTCAGAATCAGGGGCACATTGATGAAGCCAACAGGGAATTCCCAGCAAATGTGCACAAGAGCTTTGTGCAGACTTTGTTACAGTGAAGCTGCTTTTTGACAGGAAAGTGGGTTTGATTAAGCACAGATTTTAATGGAAGCCATCTGCTTTGTACATAGCATTTCCCTGGAAAAGTGGAAAACCCAAATATGCATGTTTTTGAAATGCTGCTATGGTGCCTCGTGTCCCCTGCTCTCCTTTATAGGCTTAACCAGATTTCCTCTCCCATGGTACAACGATGAGAATGGGAGAATGAAGCTCCCAGAGTACAATTTCCATTAGCACTGGAGCAGCCACTCTGGATAAAACACTTTGGTTTTATGGGCTCTTTGCCAAATCCCCTCAGATCATCTTGGGTAGTGTAGTGCTGTGGGACTGGGCCTTGCACTGGGGGAGTGGTCCAAGTGCAGGATTAGTGTGGGGGATGCCCAGTGCGAAACTCTGCACCTAATTCCCCTATTCATGTTCCAAGAGCGAATCAGCCAGACCGTGGAGATCTTGAAACACACCGTGGACATCGAGGAGAAGGGAGTCAAGCTGAAGCTGACCATTGTTGACACTCCGGGCTTTGGAGATGCTGTTAACAACACAGAGTGGTGAGAGGGGCTGAGATGCTGTGCTTTTGGTCCTGCTGCTGTTTCTGGGTCTTAGTGGTTTCCTCTGGGCAATGGGAGCAGTGTAAGGGTGAGGAATGCTTCTCTCCCAAGTTGGAGGGATGTGGACAGATTCAGCTGTGAGCACTGCCCAGGACTTGGGGACCAGGCTGAGGGAGGCGGGGAATGGAGAAGAGCCAGCCTGTCCTGTCCTTGAGGCTTCTGTCCCAGAGGTCCTACAAACTTGGGATATGCATGCAAAAAATGTACGGAATAAAAGCATGAACCATATCTTTGTACCAGGCAGGTCTGTGTAGCCCCATTAAAGTCAGTAGAACCCTCCTGATCTACATCAGCTGAGAAACTCTTGTTAAACATGGGTTGATTGTGTGCTTGCAATGTCCCCCCCAGCTGGAAGCCCATCACTGACTACATCGACCAGCAATTTGAACAGTATTTCCGTGATGAGAGTGGCTTGAACCGGAAGAACATCCAGGACAACCGTGTGCATTGCTGCCTCTACTTCATTTCGCCCTTTGGGCATGGGTGAGGCTGCCCTTCGCTCTCCTCCTTTCACAGGGCAGGGGCATCCCTGTGCGGGGTGTGTGGGATCTCAGGGACTCCTGCTAATGTTACTCGGTGGTGGGACAGACTCTCCGTCCCATGATATTTTTTTTTCTTGTGCAGAATCTGTCCACAGTCTATGTAGCTGAGGGGCGGAGGCTGTTGTTGAGGGCACTGATGCTGGAGGGCCCCAAAGCCTATACCTTGTTGCTGCTTTTCCTGGAGAGGGAGGATTAAAGCAGCACACAAACCTAGTCTAGCTAAGGAGACTCAGCACATGACTAGGTGATGGCAGTAGTAGCTGACTATTGCCTCTACACTGTTCAGATGCTACCTTTATACAGTGGCTTGAACTGGAGCAGCCCCACCCAGAGGACTTGCATAGCTGGGATACTCAGATTGCTGGATTTGTTATCTTTGTGCTACAAAAGGCAGTTGAAGTGGGACCCAGGTTCAGGGCCACAGCATATGTTTTGTAGGGAGTGAATTGTACTGCACGCTGTCTGGCTCAACAGGCTGAGCTGCTGTAGCAACTGGGCTCTAAAATGGCACGTTCAGAACAGCCGTAGCTGAACCGTCTGAGAACTCGCCCTAGTGGCTCATAGAATTTGAGACTCCGGTGCCTTAGATCCTGGGCTGCGTTTGTCTAGCTCCATGCTTCCTTGTGTGAGGGTACATAGCCCAAGGAGTGACCTGGAACAGCTCACTTAGAGAGGGAAGTGAGCTCCTGTGTCTCCTTGCTGAGTGCTGCAACTCCCCATGTCCACTGCAGGCTGAGGCCAGTGGATGTCGAATTCATGAAGGCTTTGCATGAGAAGGTCAACATTGTGCCCCTGATCGCCAAAGCGGACTGCCTGATCCCCTCGGAGATCCGAAAGCTAAAGGAGAGGGTGAGGCACACTGCATCCCTTCTTGAAGTAGGATGATCCTTAAATGGTAGCACATTGAGAGGAGAGGGGTCATTGTGGCTTCTCCAGCCAGCTGAATGGGCTGCTTCAGAGGGAAAAGGGGTCCAAGGAGGCCAATGGAGCCCCTCCCCATGGCTTTTCACTGTAATAGCCAGCCAGGCCCAAACAAGTCCTTCACCCCCCTCATTGTCAGGGCAGAGGGGTCCATATCCAGAGGTTTTGGGGCTGTAAATGTAGTGGCCCCAAAGCAGCCATGGATAGTGGGTAAAATGATCCAGGAATCCCCCTTTCCCATCCATTCACAAGTATCTTATTTTAGGAGCCAACCCTGGCTGGCCTGTTTACAAAAAAGTCAAAGAGTTTGGCTTCTACAATGTCCTGCCTTATTCCGCACTTCCCATCCTCTGCCTGCCCCTCCAGGAACACTGGAAATCTCAGGAGAGAGAGCTTGCTCTTCCAAGGATGCTCTAGAGGGTCCACAACAGTGTGCTTCTCACTTGTTTTCCTGACCTTGTGAGGCCCCCTCCCTTTCCTATAAAAGCCAAAGAGCTGTATAGTTGTAGATACACTCTGCTGGGGTGTTCTCTTCTGTCATGCTGATGAGCCATGTGGTGCTGTCTTTCCTTTGCCATTGTCCTGCATGGAAATAGATCCGGGAAGAGATTGACAAGTTTGGGATTAAAGTTTACCAGTTTCCAGAGTGCGACTCAGATGAAGATGAGGAATTCAAACAGCAAGACAGAGAGCTGAAGGTAAGGAAGGCACATGATGAGTTCATTGAGCAATATAGTGACATCATCCAGCTGTTGAGTGCAGTGAGTCACTAAGGCTGGGATTTCCTAATATACCAGACATGAGCCCACATCCCACTGAGATGGTCTCTCCAGGAAGGACAGCCCCATATCAGCTAATGTGCTTGTTTGATCCACTGCTGGAAACACTACCAGGGGCAGCACCTGGGGCTTTGCCAGTCCTCTCAGCTCCCATCTCAGTGTGTTTATCTCTGTATCTGAACCTGAACTATAAAGCCCATTTGGGCTGTTCTAGGCTTCAAAATTCCTTGTTGTTTCTTGTTTCAGGAAAGCGCTCCCTTCGCTGTCATTGGCAGTAACACAGTGGTGGAGGCCAAAGGCCAGAGAGTCCGTGGGCGGCTGTATCCCTGGGGCATCGTGGAAGGTATGCTCTGATCCCAGTAGCCCTGCAGTAGAAGCTGGATTTGCTTAGTGCCAGCTCCAGGGCAGAATTTGTCCTCTTGCAGGTGAGGTGGATGCTGCTCAGTGCTGTGTTGTGATTGCTGGACTGTTCAGCTCTGGAGCCCACTGATGGCCTGTGTATATTTGTAGCTTATGGGTGAGGGCACTGAGACTGGTGGGACTGATGCCACATGGCTCTCCATGACGGATATCAATCATGGAAACACTCTGGGCAAAGGAGAGAGATTCTTGACTCAGGAGTTAGTGTGTGAGGAAGCAGCTGCTCACTGCTCAGGAAGGCAGGGCATTGCCCACAGGCACCATTGCTGCTAATGGAGCTAAGCTTTGTACCCTTCAGCACTCTACTCCAGTAAAGGACTTTGCTGCTGCTGCTACTGCTGTCTTTGCAATGGATGTGGTGAGACCTAAACACATAGCACCAAGCTGGGAAGGGGATATGGGAGATGTGTGACTGCAACCCTCCCCAAAGGCTGGCTGCAGTGATTATATGTTGACCTGCCGTATTATCTCCCCACTGTTCTGCTTTTAGGTAAGGCTGATGCTAGCAGCAAGGGCTTGTGAGCTGATGTGTCGCCAAAATACATCCCCAGTGCACAAAATTAGTGGTTTGAATTGGAGGAAACCACTTTTTAAAACTGCAATGCCAATTTCTGGCAAAGGCAGCTCCCAGGCATTAAGGATATGTTTCTGCCATGTCTCCAGTGCCAGGGAGTAAACAGGGAGAGGGCTGTGCTGACTCACTGCAAGTCTGCCTACGATTTCCTATTCTCCCCTGCTTGTGGAAAACCCCTGAGCAGTGTGACTGTGAGCTGGCTTTTGCTCCTGATTCAGTGTTCCTCCTCAGATCTGCCTGTTTACTTGCTTTGTCACCATCAGATGATGGTATTTTTTCAGGTTGCATACCTAGCTACCTTGCTGTGGCATGGCAGCTCAGGAGCACTTAGTGAACAGCACTGGCTGTTTGATGAGCTGGGAGAAGCATTGAAGCATTTGTATGTGGAAGGAAACCCGGTCTGCAAAACCCTTGGTGTGGCACAGCCTGGCTGCCCCTGGACTTTGCAGAGAGGTCAGCTAACAGATAAAAGCAAAGCAGTGGGTCTCGTAAAGACCTAACCTCCCTCGGACTGGTCCTTTGAAATAAAGCAAGCACTGGTTTAAATTGCAAAGAAGGGGAGCATACCAATTCACTGGAAAACCTGGACTAAAATCACAGATGAAGGAGAAGTAAAACTGCCAGCTGCGCGGAAGGGAGCTGTGAAAGTGATCTCAGTGGTGATTACTGTCAGTGGTGACTCTGAACACGCTCAGCCTGCAGAGACTGTGCCTGTACGGTGCACAGTGCTGGCTTCCCTGCCTGTCTGTGGATTTCCCCCCCTGCAGTGCCTTTCCTCTCTGGGGAAGCAAGTGACACTAGGGGCTGATTCTAAGCCCATGGAAGCCAATGGAAAGACAACAATTGATGTCCAAGAGTTTTGCATCAGGCCCCAAAGTCAGGCTAAAGGGAAACACATGGACTGGGCTTCCACAGGGCAGTTTGTTTCCCATGCTCCATTGTGAGCTGCAGACAGCAAGCCCATCATGGGTGCACTGCACACACCTCAGAACCAACATCTTGTCTCAGTGTGGCTGCCTCACAGGCTGCATACATCCAGTTCCTTCTTCAACAAAGCTCCAGTAGTGCCTGGTTTCAGCAGCCCGGCCTGAAGGCCAATGAGTTCAGGCTCTTGTGACTCAAGGAAGGAAGCAAGCTGTAGGGCAAGGGACCCTGCTTTTAAATGTCCAGACACTACGTCCACCAGGGCACTGTTGGCTGGAGCCCAAGTGCCCCAGTATCTCACCAATGGGAAGCAGCCTCTTGGGTTTATGGCCCCAAAATCTTTGGCATGGAGGGTACAAAGGAGCAAGAGGGGGAGGGGAAGGTCTGAGTGATGGGTCAAGTGGAAGGGACCTTGCAAGAGCTAGAGTATTAGCTAAGACCTGGATGTTGGGAAGGGCGGAAGAGATCATGGCTTCCCTTTGGGGCTTGCTGTATGTGGTGTCCAAGTACTGTTTGTTGCTATTTCTCTAGTGGAGAACCAAGCACACTGTGACTTTGTGAAGCTGAGGAACATGTTGATCCGGACGCACATGCACGACCTGAAAGATGTCACCTGTGATGTTCACTATGAGAACTACCGGGCGCAGTGCATCCAGCAGATGACCAGGTAGGGCCCCAGATGTGCTGCATGTCATGGGGTGGTAGTGAGGTGTCCAGCCCCTGGAACGCACCTGAGATGCATGTGCTCGACATGCAGGTGCACAAGAGGAAAAATTAGAAGCTGACATAGGTCAGTCATAGCACATCCACAGTGTAAATCACCCCAAGGGACTCCTCTGAGCCCAGGCCACTGCCCCATGCTCCCATCCTCAGCCATGGGGGAAGGTCCATGGAGAAATATGCCTCTTGGAGGAACTCCTGTCAGTTAAAATAGACTTGGCCCAGTGAAGCATCTCCCTAAAGGCTTATCTGCCTGCGTTGCCAAAGCGTAGTCTGGTAGGGAGGCCCCACGTGGGTTGCAGTGCCTGTATCCTCCCCAGCTGTGGCCCTGTCTCAGTGACAACGGTCACCCTCGAGATGCTGCCATTTCTTTGACAATGCCTCTGCCCAAGCAGGGGCCAATTACTGCATTTTCATGTGTCCCCAGAGTGTTACCCTGTCATAGCTCATTGCATTTTGTTCCCTGGCATTTTTATTGCAGGCTCAAACAGGTCAGAAGGTAGGAGAGAATGATCTCAGAAGTTTCATGTGGAAAAAAACAAACAAACCCCAACAACCCTCCATTTCTCTCCTCCAAAAATTGAAATTTTATTGAAAATGTTACCTTTGAAAACTCTGTTGTGAGTTAAAAACCTTTACTTCCTACTCAAAATCACTGTGTACAGTGTTCTGTGCTGCCACTTTCCACCCCAGAAGTGGCTGCATTTCAGTGATGCGCAAGATGGGGGTCGGACTCAATGATCTATTGAGGTCCCTTCTGACCCTAACATCTAACATCTATAAGTAGGCTGTGTGTGTAAATGTCTGTGAATGTGCTTGTGTTCATGCACAGACCCCTATAATTAACTTTCTGTAGCAGACAATCTGTTTTTATTTTTAATGAAGGACATGCCGGAGACCCAACAGAAGTAACTATAGAGATCTGAGAGAAATGGTGCATTTCCCTAAATACTGTTTATGTACAGAATGTAGTAACCACTAAATAAATTGAGGAATAGCTAAGAAGAAATTCCTCAATGGAAGTAGTTTAGAAAATGCACTTTTTAAATGCCATCTTTTTTTCTATATCCAACACATTTCCAGGGTTTCAGATTCTCATGCAAAGCTGTGAGAACCAGGGGGTGATGATGTAATAGTTTCCAATATTCAGCTGAACTTTTAAGATGAAAGTCAGTTTATATAAAGCCTTCTGTAGTGCAATAGCCCAGACAACTGGGGAGGTGGCTGACTAATGAGCTAATGTTGCCACCAGGTGGTGAGAGCATACAATGGCACCCTGGCATTCTGCAGTTTCTGCTCTTTCCCAAGCATGTTTCACTCCCTGCAGATTGTGACTCGCATTATTGTTAGGACTCGCATCAATTCAGTTGCTTTCATGTTTTGATCT